GTTCTTGATTTGGCTAATTGTTCTGAAACGACTTAAAACAAAGCATATATGTTAGCACAGAGGGCAGGGGAATGATAATTGATACAAACTGTGTTTTATGCTTGCAAACCCCATACAAGGAGAAGAATGCAACTCTTTAATCGGTACCGTCCTTGTCTGAAAGCGCTTTGTCCAGCTTAGCAAATGGAAGGTCTGAGGCCGTAGCAAGTAACTCCGATTAAATCCGGCGGGAAGAAGGTGAACGTTGGGGACTTTGGGTTGGGCTTTTGGTTTTTTGGGCCAAAGGGTTAGGTTTGTATGAACGGTTTTTGGTTTCTCCATTTGAGCCGTCAATGTTTTTATATTTTATTTTATTGATGGGCGCCATCAATGTAAATTTAATTTTAATAAATTACAGTATTTTTACAATTTTAAATATTACATACTTTATTTTAAAAAGTATTATGCAATTTAAACTACTAAATATAATATTAATTACCCTCTTTATCTAATAATTATTATTTTATTTTTATAGTTTGAAGTAGTTTAAATTCACTTTTTATTTTGCCTTCTTTTATATTACAATGACTGAACGACTATGTTTAAAAGAAAAAAAATCAAACTTTTTAATCTGTGTTCTTTTATTAGGAGGGATATTAAGACTTAATTGTAACAATAAATATAAAAAAATACTTTTAAACTTAATGTATAAAAAATTCTTTATTATCCTTTCCGTTATTATCCTTTAAGAGTTATTAACAGATTGATCCAACAGTCGTTCATCCATCCATTGCTCTTCTGCAAAAAAATGTTCAGACAGTTAGAGAGAGCCAAGGAGATAAGGCAGGAGAAAGAGCTCTTACGGATGTTGCCTGAATCAAGGCAGATCAATGCAGCTATGCCTTATGTGCCATACAGATCGCTTTTACACCCTGTACTCATGCTTCAGTCAGAGCTGCCTCTTCAGTATATACTCAAAAGAGAAGCTAGTCTGCAAAGCAGGAATACCCAGGTTTTGGTCATTCAGACTCCAATGTTAGAGAATTTATGGTCCAAAGACACTGTCATATGCACAACTGACAATGATGATATTTCAGATGTTGATACTTCACTTCATCTGTGAAAAAGTATTACAATGTTAGTCGACCTAGTAATCCTGTGGTTTCCTTCCGTTTCTTCTTCATGGGGCAGTAAGAATATGGGAACGAAAAGAAGGAGCTAAAGAAAAGAAAAGAGAATATGTAATGTAGCTAATGGCCATTATCTTATGTATCTTCAGAACTACAGAGCAATCAGAAAGGCAATTCTCTTATCGCTTTTGAAATGCATTCTCATCATAGGTATTGTTATCCAATTTGTCACTGTTCCCTTTCCTCTTCATGAATTTGGGAATCAATCGAGTTCCATCTTTGGCCTCTGACATTGCTTCCCCATTGTTCATCTGCTCAAAACGAACAGCACTAACCTTTCAAGCATTTGCAGCTAATATCTGCACCAGGGACAACATTTCACTCACATTAATCAGTAATTCAATTGTGCGCTCAAGATTTAGTATTATTAGCCTATACAGTTATCACCTGGATAATTTATTTTCCAGAAAAAAATGTTTAAACTTGAATGTTACACAAGAACGAAGCATATGAATTATTATTATCAGTTGCTAAGTTTCTTTTAGCAAACTGAGCCACCAAATGAAGCATCTCATAGGATGAACCACATAAAAGCAGATTCCCATATGAACAAATGCATGCCCCCCATAATAGCATTGATTTCAGAAAGTTATATGTGGAAGAGAGTCAAGAGATTGCATGATTGCTAACTACATTCATTTTCTTAGTTTTTTCTACTGAAATCCATTCGATTCTTTTACCCTACCTCAAGTCTATATATTTGATGCCTTTCCTTTAAATCTTGATAACCAGATCCATCTTCATCTTGATTATCCCTTTTGAGGAAACTTTGATGCTCTCACCAGCCCCAGGGATGTATCCAAATACTTCGCATACAAAACCAGATACGGTCTCACACTGATGTTCCTATAGAACAGCGTGGCGAGCAAATAACAATGAAGTAGAAATATGAAATTTAAAAGTTAAAGGAACATTTTGATAGTTATTTACAGTGTGAGATTAATTGTGCCTTTACTTCAAAATGAATTAAAAACCACATTGCATTTTTAACTATTTACTTTATCCTCTCCCCTTTTTCTTCTTCATTTGTTTTTTTATTTTTTAAGTAGTGGTCACTTAATCATAAAGCATAATAATCCCACAACAGTCACAATAAACAGAATTTCACTTGCAACTGGGATCAGAAATATCAAGTATATAAGTCTGGCTATTTTTAAGATTCCTACAATCAACTACTATGTGGCAGAGAATGAAATTTTAATGAGCCTGTGGAAATGGTAGGAGAAGTGTACAATACTAGAAATAATACTAATAACTGAGTTTTAGCTTTAATGTTTAAATTCTCCATTCAGTGCTCTATACACCACAACAACAAAAATCAACAATGGTATAGAATAATATACCTCTGGCACTTTGATATTCAAGTCCTCAGATGGCAAATAAATAGATGCATGGGCATGGACATCATATACTCCCTCTGCTCTCATTACAATATAGCCAGTTTTCTTCTGGATCACCTCTTGTTAATACAATTTGCAGCAAATGCATAAAATAAGAATCACTTGAGAATCATTATGCATATGTACAAATGAATCACCTAAGAATCAAGTAGAGCTGAATCTTGTAACACTAATTGATATGAGACCTATAGAGTAAAGAAATATCTACATGACATGAGAAGTGACATGAAATTCCTTGGTCACATGGAAAATACAGAAAAAGTACATGCCAAACTAAATGAGACCAGAAACTGGTGACATAAAACAGCATCTAGATCAATTGGTCTGTAGAAAATTAGAAGCACAGGTATAACACCAATTTGTTTTGGACTCCATCAACAAGTTTTCTTAGCATCCCCTTGCTGAGGAATAATAGAATCCAATATCTAAAGTTATCTATATAGTTAAAAGACTTGCCCCCATTAAGGTCATTAATAAGGTAATTAGGCTTACCTTTGAATCATTTTCATCCAAGATTTCTCCAATGATCTCCTCAACCACATCTTCTAAGGTTACTATCTACTCCATCAAAAAATCAGTACATAAATATATAAAATCAATCAGTCAATAAAATGAGCACAAATACTGTTAAATAAGCAATCCAAAAGAGAAAGAAAACCCATGCATAATTTCTATATTCAAAAAAGGATAAGTTCTCATAAAATATCTAGAGAACATTTCAGATTCTTCATTTCTTTGACCTCCCTTTTTTGACAGCATTTCTTTGGCAGAGTTGTTTTGGGTTTTTTATTAGCACCTCACTTACTTTCTTCAATACTTTCTTATAAGCATTTCAGATGCTAAAAAGTAGAGTTTCCCTCCCATACTTCTTTAGACTTGTGAGTGAAAAAAGTGCTTACAAACAAGTTGAAGAATAAGCTCTGCCAAACAAACAGTCATTGAGGGTCATTAGCTCCCCTGCATTTATCAGTCAAATGCATGCACATTTGTTAAAGCCAAGGTATAACACGATAATATTTTCAAATACTTCACAAATGACCCCCTCCATGCCTCTTATCTGCGAAGATATCTTAATCACAAAGGCAGATAAGAAATGTTATAAAATTGTATCGTTTGATGAAGTATTCCATAAGTTGATTAGTACAACCTCCAGTTGAAAGCAAATTTTGCTTCACAAGTTAGAATTACATCATTATTTGTTTCACAAAAAATGTAAAGCTCTAAATGAACAGAAACCTTCTAAAGCTCAGCTAACTCATTGACATATAATTACATTTGACATACAGAAAGCCCATTTTCCATAGCCTCCCCTACCCTCTACCTCGTCCTCATCTTCTCCTATTGGCATTGGCACAGGATGACTCCATGAACATACCTTCAGCCAGTTTATATTGGCATGTAATGACTCCATTAAACCTTATAAGCAATCAAAATTATGCATATAGGGATGGAAGAAATGAAGGACTTCAACTAGTCTTCAACTTTTCTTTGCAAAACATAGAAAATAAAAGCCAGAAATCAACTAGAATGTCAAATAAAATAGAGCAAGTTAGATGTCCATTATACCTGAAGTGACTCCTCAGTATACCTTTCTTTCACTTTATGCAAGTTAGATATTTCAACAACAATAGAGCTTCCGCTTGAATAACTCATCTTCCCATCTAATGTAATCTTTGCAACAGACTCAAGGACACCCCCATGGGAACTAGACCCAGACCTGCTGGCAGCAAGATGGCAACTAGGAGAAGCAGATCCACCAGAAGCTCCACCAATGCTATTATCAAATAAAGGAACAATAACCCAGGTGAAGGATTCTCTGTAAGGCATAATTCGAGACCACACCTGCAGTTTCTGCCTTTCTCTCTCAGTCAAGTGCACCTGTTAAGGAGAAGATAGAGAACAACAATAATTATAAGGAATTTATTTGAGATGCAGAGGAAAAATGTGCAATT